CAGGGAGACAATGAATAGAAACATACACACAGTTTTGTTTTGTTAATAAGATTTTGCTTATTTAGTAGAAACTTTTTTATTGTTTTGTCACAATTGCAAGTAAGTGCTTTTAGCCACAGGAAATTTAGACAGTGAGTACAAATTTGCTTAAAAACCAAAAAGCTTTCCCTTTTACTTTTTACCCTTTTGCCTGTATTTACTGAATAAACTTCCCAATCATCCACTGAGCTTTGCTTGTAGAGGTCACATGAGAGTCTTTGTAAAATCTTAGCTTTGCATATTTTCTCTAAAGAAATGATTGCATTTATCACTGGACATTCATCATCTGAGCTCTAGCTCCTTATACATTCTGTAAAGATCACTTTCCAAATCATGTATGGCAAAAATAATTCCCATTATAAATTATTTTAAATGTCAAGACATTTTCCTTAGTAAAATGCTTTTAAAGTCACCATTTTCTCATCCAAGTATGGATATCTAAAAAATTGAAATAGGTTTTAGAAATTTATCTAAGAGTAATCTTTTAAATATTTAGTAACATTATAAAAGCAATATGATTTCCTAATTTTAGTATGTCAATGATACATGAGTTAAAACTTCTAAATTAAAATAGAACTAATAACCACTCATTCTTTCATATAACACATATGATTATGTACCACTTAGGTTCCAGGGTTCCACTTACGTTCTCTTTCCACAAAGAGAAATAAAAGGTGATCTCTCCCTTTAGAGGGTCATGGTTCGGAAGAAGCAACAGTCATGCAAAGAAGCAATACTGGAAGGGGCTCCCAAGTGGTTTAAAAAGAGAAATGAAAAGATAGCATTTATGTTTCAGGAAAATAAACTTCGAAAAAATATATATATGTTCACATATTACACAGCCCTTACTATTTAAGGGACACTACGAAGCACAAGGTGTTCCAACAAGATTTCTTTAGGAGCCCACAATAGTTGCTACTGTCATACAAACCATTTCTGGCATATTGTTTTATAGGAAGGCTTATAGTGCAATTCACCAATGAGATGAATGAATCACTTCACATAGTAGGACTGACCTAAGGTTTGGGAAAGAGGTGTTAAAATAAATAAATTCTTCTAACAGACTGCCCATCAGTCAACTCTACCAAACAAGTTATCTTTCCAAGTAGTCGTGATCATGTTAAAGTGAGCCTTCACTGCTCCCTTTGGGCTAACCAGATTTCTACCTTCAAGCCAGGGATTCTTAGAGATTTACATGTTTATGCAGCTCTTCAGTTTACAATGTATCATAATCTCATTAGAACCACATAAGGATCATCAAATGAGAGAATCGGGACAAATACATAATCTTTTTACAGTACAGAGTGAAAACAGTTTAGGCTTACAGCGGTTAAAGTTTATAGAATACAGCCTCAGAAAAGATTAACTAAGGTGTCTAAGCACCGAACTTGGAATCAGTCTTGTACCACTGAAATGAATGTCAGAATCAAAGTCAAATGATGGCATGTAACACTGAAAACAAATCAAGATGTTCAAATTCTTCTTAATGCTACAGCATAATTTTTACAATTATATTGATTTTAATCATTGAATTTCCTCAACTCTCATGTAAAAGAAACTGAATTTCAAAGAGACTGAGTACTGCCAAAAGTTACAGTAAAAACAACTGAAGGGTAAGAACTATAATTCTTTTGACTTCTAGCCCAATTCTTTTTTTTTTTTTCCAATTCTCTTTTTGAGACATTGAGACATTGGAAACGTCGCAAAAACAACAAATTAAAAACATTTGAAAGTAATAAGACTGGCTTTTTTTGTTGTTGTTCTGGACACATTAAAAAAAGATACGATCTCATAGGAAAACAGACATAATAAAATTACCTGATATAAAGGTTTCTGTTTTAATAGAGCCAATAAATAAGTATAAAATTATAATTTAAAACAACAGAACCAAACCATGTCTTTTTCTTGTAATTTTGCATATTTTGGGAAACAATGAAAATAAATTTATAACCATAGTTTTTAAATTAAATGAATTATAGTTGATAACAATATTACTGACTTAAGAACTGTCAGTAATAATGTTAATATAGCTACCACATTTTACAACTCACTCCCCCTAGTTTACCATTCACGTATTAGCACCTATCATATGCAAGACATTTTGCAGTAGGCAGTAGAGGTATATAGGATGAATGCATCCATAGTCCAATAAAAAAAATATGTTTACTCAAATTAATATGATGCATAGGGCCAGGGATTTAGCTCAGTGGTTCTACCACCTGCTTCGCAAGCACAAGGTCCCAAGTTTGATCCCCAGTACCAAAAAAAAAATATGACGCATAGTTTCAATTCCAGATAATATTTAAGCTGCCCTTACAGATAAACAGAATATAAGGAATCAGGGAAGAAAAGAAGTGGGAATTTAAATAGAAAGAATATCATGAGCTGGTGTAAGAAAGGAGAAATTTCCTAGGATGCACAAGGAACAAAGATTACTCTCATAATGTAGAGTGCCCTGAGGGTTTGAGTGGGAAATAAAACTTTTAAGACCATAGCATTGATGCTCTACTGTCAGGGATTTGAGACTTAAATTAATGAGGAACTGGAACCCAAAATAACTCAAAATAAAAGTGTAATGCTTGGTCTAGAAATACTAAGCCATAGCACAAAATCTGCAAGAAAACATCTGATCATTCAACAATAAGCTCAAATTACAAAAGAAAAAAAGAAATCTCTAAACTGTTGCAGATGTTTCAGATCAAACAGTAATTCTGTGAAAAATGTTGTATGTTCAATCACTGTAAGTATACTGATATTTAGAAACATTCCCAAAAGGTTTGCCTTACAACAATAATAAAAATAAAATGATGTGGATTTTTATACAGGTTTCAAATGTAGAAATGAATATATGTACATTTTCCTAAAATAGAATGTTAGATCATTCTCAAAGATTATAATGATGATGTAGGCAGGGCAGGAGGAAAACTATGTGGAGAGAACACCATAAGAATTTTAAGAGGCAGGAAAAACAGGGAAGGGACTAGTGCCTTTCAAATCTCCTAGACTGATAGCTAAGCTTTGAGTTTTTAACTGATAAAAGTGAGAGTTAAGGGGAAGTGGTAATGAATAACAGCACATAATTTGCATTTGCATTTGCAGAGGTGATAAAATAGGGTAGTGGCAGAGGAAAGAGTACATGGAGTTAAGCAGCTCTGACTTTGAATGCTAGTTATGTGATCTTGAACACATTTCTTAACTTTCCCACAATTCCTTCTGTAAAATTAGGATAACAAATATTTACTTTAAAGGATAAGATTAGAAAGAGAACAGGAAAGTGCTTGCTGAATATTCAATAAATGGTAACTTCAATAAAAACCTTTTATTAATATCCTATTGTGTGCCTACCACTGTGATTCTGTTTTTCTTTGGTAGACTATGGAGAGAGATGAATCTTCTTTAGAAAGATTATCAAGGAGCATTTCAAAGCTCCTAGCTAGTCTTGCTTCTCCTTCCCTGCCACACACATACGTATGTATAAGTTAACAAGATCCTTTTAAAACAATACAGTGTGTGTTGGGTAGGCATGACACCTTCACACTTCAGCGTGATCCATTCCTAGCTTTGAAAACTTCTAAATTCTCTTGAAATTGGAGGAAGAAGCAACATGAGTTGTTAGTGAGGACATTCAGTATGACAGATGGATAGGGAGTAAGAGGGAAAGAAAGATAAGGGGAGAGAGAGAGAAAAAAAAACAACAAACCAGTTAGTGAAGGCCACACAATAAATGGCAGTTCTAAAGTGACTGAGAGCCTTGGAAGGGTACTTGTCGCTTGTCTCTGAGGAAGATAACTGACAGTTCAGTAAAAATTACCAAGCCTGTGCCAGTCAAATTCCTCCCTTTTATTCCTGTCTCACAAGCTGAGGCTTATGAGCTTCGTTTTAAAATCCATACACAAAAAATAGGAAAGATAATGAGAAGAAGTGTGCAAGGCTACTGTTTCCATTTCAACTTAATTTCCGAGAAAATTTTTTTTTCTCTTCTCTACTTTCTGGCTTTTTAAAGAGGCAACTCCACTTCTGCACCCCTATTCTGCAATAAAAAATCATTTAAGAATTTTCTTTAAAATCGATTCTGTAGCTATTCATTCGCGGCCAGTCTTTTATCTCCACTTCCCGTATCCTCAGCTGTTAGGCTAGCTTTGGTAGTAAAGAAAAATGCCGAACTATTGCGAGCCAATCTCCACTCCAAACATGTCACAGGCTAGTGAGCTCAGGAAAGCTGAGATTGCCAAATTTGGATTCTGGGATTCCCAGGACTTCAGGTCAGGCCACTGGGAGGTCCACCCGGGGGTAAATTCCACACATAGTTTCCTTCTCTGGGATCAGTGCTTTAACATCTGGGTTAACTGGATTCTGCGGACACAGTAACTAAGCTCAGAAAACAGCTGGGCACTTCGCTGAGAGCCCAGATCTAACGTGACCAATTGTTCTTAGAAACCAACAGGCCTGTAGCGTCTGAGTGAGGATAAGGAGTGAGGAATAACGAGCCCAGTTTGAACGTTTCAGGCCAAATCTGCACTTATGAGAGCGCCTTTTACTTTTAGGTAAATTGTGAAATTGGATTTACGCCGAGGGCGGAGGTAGAGTGGCAAAAGCACCGCATAGAACTAAAAAGAACATTTTTTCACTCACTTCTTCATTCGCAAACAGGAATGGGAGAGAAAACTTGGGAAACGTTAAAATAAAGCTTTTGTCAAAAAGACAGCCCACACCTTAGACTTCTAAGCTCCTCCTCGTTTCGTGCGCCTGCGCTTGCGTGCCTGTGCAAGCTATGGCCCCACCTTTCCGTTGGGGACGTAAGCGTGCGCGGGAGAGGGGACGTGCCGCCGCGCATGCGCTCTCCTCGCGTCACCTACTTTCTCGGAGTTGGTGGCTGGACCCCCTAGAGGTCCTCGTTCTGTGAGGTGTCTCCTAGCCCGGTTTGGCGCGCCGCATCCGGAGACTGAGAAAGGAAGGCGCAAGAGTAAGTGTTACCCTTGGCGGTATGAGTCAGAGCTAGAATATTTCCTTCCCTCCAGGCAAGTTCCCATACTTACCGGGCCCGCCCCCTTCCTGGCCTAAACTGCTTTGCACCTTTCCTGTCGGGAACTCCCTCGTACGTTTTGTTCTCCTGTTGAGCCCCTGGTAAAGCCATGAAGCTTGTGAGGAAGGACATTGAGAAGGACAGTGCGGGGCAGGTGACCCTGGTCCCCGAAGAGCCTGAGGACATGTGGCACACTTACAATCTAGTGCAGGTAGGCGACAGCTTGCGCGCCTCCACTATCCGTAAGGTACAGACCGAGTCCTCCACGGGAAGCGTGGGAAGCAACCGGGTCCGCACTACTCTCACTCTCAGCGTGGAGGCGATCGACTTTGACTCTCAAGCCTGTCAGCTGAGGGTTAAGGGAACTAACATCCAAGAGAACGAGTATGTCAAGATGGGGGCTTACCACACTATAGAGCTGGAGCCCAACCGCCAGTTCACCCTGGCAAAGAAACAGTGGGACAGTGTGGTTCTGGAGCGCATCGAGCAAGCCTGTGACCCAGCCTGGAGTGCTGATGTGGCGGCTGTTGTCATGCAGGAAGGCCTCGCCCATATCTGCTTAGTCACTCCCAGCATGACCCTCACCCGGGCCAAGGTGGAGGTGAACATTCCTAGGAAACGGAAAGGCAACTGCTCCCAGCATGACCGAGCCTTAGAGCGGTTCTATGAGCAAGTGGTCCAAGCCATCCAACGCCACATAAACTTTGATGTTGTAAAGTGCGTCCTTGTGGCCAGCCCAGGATTTGTGCGGGAGCAGTTCTGCGACTACATGTTTCAACAAGCAGTGAAGACGGACAACAAAGTTCTCCTGGAAAATCGGTCCAAATTCCTTCAGGTAAAACAGTTTTACTCAAAGATAGTTAAGAATGGGCAGAGGAATTGGTACACACTGCACCTTACATTTTAGAATTGGGGAAAATAAGAGAAGAAACTCTTAACCGGTATCGTAAATGACAATGAAATGAGAATTGTACATATATAGCACTTTTATTTAGTAAACTTCGGCACAATCCTTAAATATATAAAGTCTTAATGCTTTTGGCTTTAGGTCATTGTGGTCTGGTTAACGGATGCTCTCAGAGATTCTTTTGTCTTTTATAATTATGATTCTAGGTACATGCCTCCTCTGGACACAAGTACTCCCTGAAAGAGGCCCTTTGTGACCCTACTGTAGCTAGCCGTCTTTCAGACACTAAAGCTGCTGGGGAAGTAAAAGCCTTAGATGACTTCTATAAAATGTTACAGCATGAACCTGACCGGGCTTTCTATGGACTCAAGCAGGTGGAGAAAGCCAATGAAGCCATGGCAATTGATACGTTGCTCATCAGTGATGAGCTCTTCAGGCACCAGGATGTAGCCACACGGAGTCGGTATGTGAGGCTGGTGGACAGTGTGAAAGACAATGCAGGCACAGTTAGGATATTCTCTAGTCTTCATGTATCTGGGGAGCAGCTCAGCCAATTGACTGGAGTAGCTGCTATTCTCCGCTTTCCTGTCCCTGAGCTTTCTGACCAAGAGGATGATTCCAGTTCTGAAGAGGATTAGCCATTGAAGCATGAGACAACCTGTATCTGACTTCTTCACTGTGACATTTTCATGGCTTTGACAGCAGCTCCAAGAGTGGCATTTTTTGATTCATACTGACATTTTCCCTACCTCGGGTAACACTTGGTATTTCATGGTTTGCAGAACATGTATTCAAACTAAACAATAAACTAAAAGGAAATAATCCCCAGGCACTATTATCTTTACTAATTAGAATAATTTTTATTTGTAGTACTTAGAAAAATTCTGTGTATCTAATAAAAATACTTATGCTTGGGTTAGGCCATAAAATCCCATATTGTGTGCAATGAGGTAGTTTTCCTCAGAAAAAGTTCCCATTATCCTGAGTTTACATTATTAATACATAGTGTTCTTATAATTATCCCTTTTCTCCTCACCACCCTCACACACTCCTAATTATTTTTTTAGGTTTTAATATATTGCCTATTTTAAATGGTAGTCAATTAGTAAACTTAAAGATAAATTTAAATTAATATTTTTCTTAAAAGAGTTGTTAAACCAGACATACTAAAAATATTCTTAGTCCATTTCTGTTGCTCAAATTAACCATATTTGCTGTAGAAAAGCACTTAATTATTTTGAGATCATAAATTTTGATTTACTAGAGATTCTCAAGATAATCTCTTTGAGGCCTCTCTTTAAAATGAGACTGAGGTATGTGATTTGCTTCTTACATGGCTAATTAGTGCCAAATCTGTAAGTAGTCTCCAGTCTGGATTTCCAATTCTTTGCACTGAAACATTGCCCTACTATTTTTAAAAATGTATTTATTTTGGCTTCTTCAAGTAGTATTTAATGTTGTTTTATATTTGCATGTGGCATTAGTCTGTGCTTTTATGTTCTTACTGAACTGTTTTAGGTGTAAAAAAGCATATTCAGAAATTTTTCTGCAAGTACCTCACAGTTTACAATACTTTTTATTAAGTTTGTTTGTTTTGGTTTTACATGATAGGGTATTGTGTAGTTCAGGCAGGTCTTAAACTCACTATGTAGCCTAGGTTAGCCTGAAACTCGCGGTGATCCTCCTGCTTCAGCCTCATCCAGTACTGGAATTATAGGCATGCACCATCACACCTAGCTTAGTAAATATTTTTGTTCATTTCTAAGAGTTATGACGGGATCTTTTGAAATGGAATTACATCTTGACCTTTTACAAACCTCAGCTTATCAAAATAATTAGGAAAGGTCTTAGAGTGACATTAATTTGTAACTCCTGAATCAGTGATGCCTAGCATTTTACTAAATAACTTAGAAATATAGAAAGGAAGCTACTAAGATTATTAAAGTTAGAATCTGATAATTGATAGTAATGTTCGAATTTTGGTATTTTAGACATCTGTCATAATCTGTACAGTACTGAAATGAATTCTAATGAATATAGGCAGTGAATTTTAGGCTAGAAGTTCTTGAATTTAACTGCCTATTAGCTTGGCTTTGGGAGTTCTTAAAACTCTCAATATCCAAACAGCACCCAAACTAACCTTTTCCTAGAAGTGCTGCTTTTTGTCTGTTTGCTTTGTTTTTTAACAGCTAGTTAGGTGACTCTAATAGACATCAAGGCTAAAAACTACTGATTAAGATCTTTCTATTAAAAATTGCGGTCCATTGACCAGCAGCATCTTTGAGAATTAGAAAGTTCAGGGCAAGGGCCGGGGATTTACCTCAGTGGTTTTGCCGCCTACCTTGCAAGTGCAAGGGCCTGAGTTCAATCCCTGGTACCAAAAAAAAAAAAAAAGAGGGCAGCTTTGGAGAGCTAGCTGTAAAAAATGAAAGAAAAATTACCAATATTTCCATGTGATTGCTATGCATAGTAAAATCTGATACATATACATAGGCAGTAGCTTATTTTTTCATGGCTGGGAAATTTTCTGGGGTCATCAGCCATAGGGAATATAAACTTGAATTTTAAAATCTTTCCAAGAGTTAACTGGCCATACTTAACCATCTATTAAACCTCCAGTGTAAAGCTTATTTTTATGGATACGAAGTATTTAAACATTTTTTATTCCTTATTTTTAAAGTCACCTATTATAGCATTACTAAGAATATACTTACTAGTTCATAAGGAAAAATAACGAGATAATAAGAGCAAAGAAAACATTCTACTACATTATTTTTTTTTTTTTACTTTTCTAAAATGAACCATAAATCTTTGGAAATCATATCATAGTCAGATTCCAACTGCTGTTCCTTAACATTAAGGAATGTATGTGTGATGGATGATTATCAATAATAACCTCAAATATACTATTAAATTTCCATTTCCCATCAGATGATTGTGAAGATTTGCTGATTCCACTAGACTCAATAAATGAGAAGCATGCATATCATTTAACTTTGCTATGGATATGCTACATCTCAAATTACATATTGCTATTAATGGTTTCCCATTTATATGTTAAATATGGTGCTGATTTTATGTCTGGATTTCACTTTCATTGCCCCTTTATAAACAAATTGGATCTCTCAGTTGTCAGAGGAGTTTTTTTATAGAGCTAATTTTCCATTATCTCTTGGTTTGCCACTAATTTTAGTTATGTTTAGTCTTCATGACTAATTTCACTTTAAATTATCATTAATAGTGACCAATAAGGGGCTGGGGATTTAGCTCAGTGGTGCCGACACCTGTCTTGCAAGCAGAAGGTCCTGAGTTCGATCCCCAGTACGAAAATTAAAAGAAAGTGACCAATAAGGACTGAAATTGATGTATTCTGGAACTGAAATTCTTGCTAAAAGTGTGGAGTTCACTTAGTATATAATAAGTCTGGCTATGTTTTATATCAGAATATGTTCAATTACATATTGTATATGATGATTCTAAGAGTTTGAGAAAAGAGGAACTCCTTTGCCTGAGCTGGAGCTTGGATGTTGAGTGTTCATAATTATTATATCTGTCATTATGAGTAATAATTTCATCCATTTTTGAGGGAGTGTCTACTTTGAACTGTTTAGTGCACTGCATTTAAGAATACAAGACATGAAAACAAATCACCGTTATAGGTAATTTGTAAAAAGTAATGTAAGCACAATGTTGAAAGGGGTCAGTCATTTTTAGGAGGAACTTTATATAATAAGTCTCAGTAAATTTATCTGAAATGGTGAGAAGAAAGTTGGAGAAATTAGGTGGGAAGACTTGGAGGGCAGATGAACTAATCAGGACACTCCATGCCACGATAAGGAGTTTGGGTTAGACCATACTGATAAACAGTTACATTATGGAAGCAGGGGAAGGGCATGATAAATAGTATTTCACAAATAATACTGTTCAGTCATATCAAGGATGGATTGGAAGAGGCATGAAAATTTTACTTAAATTTATATCACAAAAATGAGAGAGAAAAAAATGATAGCCTGAACAAAGACAGTAACAATATTCTTGAATTAGGAATGAAAAGGAAAAGGTCATTAGGAGGTATTGAGATAGGATCAAAATGACTTCAGCTACAGAGTTTTGGTCAAAGTTACTAAAAGAGTAGACTCTAAAGGTAAATTTCAGATTTCTTGAGTCGGGGGGAGGTGTGGCACAATTCACATAGAAAATACAGAAGGAAAGCTGGTTTGGAAGGAAAATAAGCTCTAGGAAATGTCTGGAATGTTTTTCCACCAGATTTCTACACACTTTCTTATTCCATTCAGGTTTTTGCTCAGGTATTCTGTGAGGTCTTCCCAGACCAGCTATTTAAAAAATATAACTTTAAAAATAATGTTGCGGAATCATGATTGGATTTATGGAAAGATTCTGGGGAAAGGATTCTCATAGTGCAAGAATTAGCAAACTGTATCTCAAGCTACTGGATGCTTGACTTTGTGCAGCCTATCCTAACATGGCACCTTTGGTTTCCCTCTGGAGTCATTCTCTTCACCTGTAGAACCACAAGTGTTAGAGCTGTGTTGTAAATTTTGAAAATTTTTGTTTTCACCTTAAGGTGTGAAATACTTGATTTAAAATTTTATTTTGATCAACCTATACTTTTGTTGACATATTTTTCAGTAAATGAATATTCCAGTAATGAGAAACACATAAAGTGAACAATTTGAAGATAAAAAAGAACCACTATTTTGGATAAAGTTTATAAAATCTTCAATAAAATAGTTTTCTTTGTATTGGTGTCACTGTAACCTTCATACTGTAATTCAAGTTATGTATTCTAGGAGATTTAGTATTTTAGAAAGGGGCTATTCAGAATTTTCTTACTACATTATGTGTACTACTGACTTAAGGAAAGTTTAGTGCAAAAGTATTACAAACTGGGCTGGGGATTTAGCTGGGTGCCGCCACCTTCCTCGCAGGTGCAAGGTCCTGAGTTTGATCCCTGGTACCAAAAAAACCAAAGTATTACAGAGATGCCAAAATTATTTGTGTGTGTGTGTGTGTGTGTGTGTGTGTGTGAGAGACAGTACTGGGAATTGAACCCAGGGCCTTCACACTGAAATACATCCCCAGCCCTTTTTAGAAAATTTTCCTATTTTGAGACAGTTTGGCTAAATTACCAGACTGGGCTTGAACTTGTGATCATCCTTCCTCAGCCTCCCAGAGTGCAGGGATTACAGGTGTGTGCCACTATACCTAGCTGCCAAAATGATTTTTAAAGGAGTTAAGACACAAGTGTAATACTGTTGGGTGTTAAGTATGCTTTGTTAGAAAAGATTCAAAATGCAGCTAAGATGTTAGAAAACAAAATGCGTTAATAGTTGTCTTAGAATTTAAACAAGGAAAGCACTCAGAAATTCCTAAATGCAGTTACCAAATAGCAGGTAAACTTAAAGAAATTATTCAAACTCAGCAAGGAAATGAATTCAAGTTAGACCATGAAAAAGCACAGGCAAAAGATCTTTGTTAAATTGAAGTGGAGATGTTAACTGAAGTGGATTGTTTCTTTTTACATGGCAAGATCATGTCCTTTTTAGGGAATGTTTAATATTGTATCACCATGTGTATTCTCATCTGTGTTTTGTAGTTATTTATAGATTTCCAAGTATAGTTATTTGTATATATAGTTTTTCTTAGCGCACATTTGCAGTACATAATGACTACATTCATTGTGAGGAGTTGTTACCTGTACATAATGCATCTTAATTTTTTACATTCTTTTCTCCTCCCCCCTCCCTTCCATTCTTTTGCTTTTGCAAAAGTTCTGTTTCTCTATTATCATGTTAATGTAGT